AGGTAGCACAGATGAAAAATGAACTTCCCAATACCACTCCTACAGCCCAACTTGTCACAAAGTTGCATAAGAAGAAACGTGGAATGCTGTTGCTTGGACCAAGTCATCTTCTTCCCATTTCTCCCTCAACTCGAAGACCACTTTAAATGCCACAGGCATTCTAAATTAAATGAAGAACTTCTCTCTGATATTACTCTTCTTACCCAGCCTCCTCTCCTCGGGCCCATCATCCAAACTGCTGCCAGCAAGAATCTTTCCTAATTTCAGAGCTGTCTATGTTTCTGCTCTGCTTCAAATCCTTCCATAGTTCTCTATCACCCACAGAATAACAACTAAACTCTTACCATGAAATAGATGTTCCTTCACAAAACCAAACCAAACCCACTGTTGTTGAGTCGATTCTGACTCATAGCAACCCCATAGGGTTTCCAAGGCTGTCAATCTATACGGAAGCAGACTGCCACATCCTTCTCCCTCCGAACCACTGATGATTTTGAACTGCAGACCTTTGGTTAGCAGTCGAACGTTTTAACTAGTTCCTTCACAACCTGGTCCTTATTAAACATTCCTGCATCATTTCCCTTCACTTTTCCTTTCACATCTTAATTCCCAGCCCCTCTAAGCAGCTTACAAGCCCCTAAACACACCGTGCTTTCTCATGCCTCTATGCCTTTCTTTGCACACAAGTTCCTTCCCCCACATATTTTGCCTGGGGAGTCCCACTGGAGTGGCTCAAATGTCATCTCTCTTGTAAAGTCTTTCCTGATAGTGGCTCCTCCTCTCCCCATCTGGCACCCTTTTCTTACAGCATGTATCTTATGACATTACAATAGTTTCTGCTTCATCTCTACACTCTTCCCCAACAGAATTCTTGAGAATAGGGATTGTATCTTGCTCATCAAAGAATCCCCACAGCCTAGCATAAAAAAAAAAAAAAAAAAAAAAAGCTCAGTTGCTGTTGAGTTAACTCTGACTCATGGGAACCCCATGTGTGTCAGAGTACAACTGTGCTCCACAGAGTTTTCAATGGCTGATTTTTCAGAAATAGATTGCCAGGCCGTTCTTCCAAGGCACCTTTGGGTGGACTCAAACCTTTAATCTCTCAGTTATCAGCTGAGCTCATTAACTGTTTGCATCACCCAGAAATTCCACACAGCCCAGCATAGGGGCTCAAAAGACCCAAGCCCAGGGGAATGTGCTTCTTTGGGATGTCCAAGGGAAGCCCCTACCTAGTCCAAAATTAAATAACAAGGGCTGGATTCCAGAATTAGGAAAAGATATTTTCACTTTCTAAGGCAACCCCAGCTTCTGTCCCACTTCCTCTCTTTCACGAGGTTCCACCTGACTCTTGTAGAGGTGGGTGGTAGAGGCAGGGGGCAGGGCAGACTGGAAGACAGTGTCTTTTTCCTTGGTCCATCTGATGCCCAGCTTCTCTAACAATAAAAGGAAACAGGGAATAGATGGATTAGCATGATCCTTGTCTCTGTCAAGCAAACTTTGGGTACTAACTTCTGGATCCGTGAAATACATCTAACTTTACAAAGAGGAAGTCCCCTACACCATTACTAGTGGAGTTGGTTGTTTTTAATAAAGCCACATCTGGTATTATTTTTTGTCCCTGCCTAATGATACACATATTATCCTTCCCCATCTCCTCCCTCCAAGCCTAATGTTTCAGGCAGACCAGTTTTATATAAGAAGACGCCCACTTGTATTAGTGGAGGAGGGAAGGGTTGCTTTGTATGGCTGGAAGTATGACTATGCTAACAGCTTAATTCTTTTAAGGGAACTCATTGAGAAGTAGGCTTTGGAAATTGGTGATTGGCCAGGTTTTACTTTTCTGGAAAGGGGTCTTCCACCCATCTGGAGTTGTGCACCTTGAAATGGATGAGGCACATCTCACTAGAAGAAATTAAGACCTGGAATTATTTTGGAGGAGGGTGTAGGGTCAATTGTTCATTCAGTCATCAAACATTTATTTTTATGAACAATGCCAGGTACTGTAGCAGGAGTCTGGCAATACACAGATGAGTAGGAGAGGGTTCTGGCCAGTAGACAGAGGCTCGAAAACCAAAAACCAAACCTACTGCCGTTGAGTCAATTCCAACTCATAACAACCCTACAGGACAAAGTAGAACTGCCCTTAGGGTTTCCAAGGTTGTAAATCTTTATGAGTGCAGAATGCCACATCCTTCTCCTTCGGCGTGGCTGGTGGGTTCAAACCGCAAACCTCTTGGTTAGCAGCTGAGTGCTTAACAATTGTACCACCAGGCCTCCTTATGGACGCTCAGTGGGGAATTACTGGCTCCATCTGAAGATGGAGTTAGCAAGGCTTTCCATAGAAGGTGACTCTTGTGCCAAACCTTGAAGAATGGGTAGAATTCATCAGTTGAACCAGAAGGAAAGGTATTTCAGGCAGAGGGATGAGCATAAGCAAAAGCATAGAGGGGTGAAAGGGCATGGGATTCAGATTCATGCAAAGTTATTGTCTTAGTTATCTAAGAAAATGAGAAGGATGAGTGGAAGGGGGGTAGTGAATGGGCCAAGCAGAGGGAAGAGCATGGGCAAAGCCATAAACGTTCAAGAACGCCAGTGTGGCTGGAGCCAAGAGGATGGGGCAGGAGAAGTGTGAAGTAAGGTGAAGAGGTAGAGCATGCAGGACCACACGGGCCATAAGGAATTCGGATTTTATCCTACGTGCACAAGGGAGCCATTGACATGATTTATGCAGCAGTGTGACATGATCAGATTTACATGTTAGAAGGATCACTTTAGCTGCAGGGTAGGTGACTTAGTTATCTGGTGTTGCTATAACAGAAATACCACAAGTGGATAGTTTTAACAAACAGAAATTTATTTTCTCACAGTTTAGGAGGCTTGAAGTCCGAACTCAGAGCGCCAGCTCTAGGGAAAGGCTTTCTCTCTCTGTCCGCTCTGGAAGAAAGTCCTTGTCTCTTCAGCTTCTGCTTCCTGGTTCCTTGGAAATCTCTGCGCTTGGCATCTATCTTACTCCATCTCTCCTCTGCTCACTTGTTTAATCTCTTTTATATCTCAAAAGAGACTGATTCAAAATACACCCTACACTAATCCTGACTTATTAACATAACAAAGACAACCCATTCCCAAACGGGATTATAAACACAGGCATAGAGGTTAGGATACACAACATGTATTTTTGGGGAACACAATTCCATCCATAACAGCGATGCTTCTGATGGTGGGTGTGGAGCCATTCAATTCAGAGCTTATTAACTTTTTTTGAGTCATGAAACTCTGTGAGAAAGAAATAAAAGCTAATGATCTCTATTCCCAAGAAAGTTCACACACTCACACACACATGTATGCACACACACAGTTCTGTAGACAATTTCATTGAGTTTACGAACCCTCTGCCACAGAGCATTAAGAATCCTTGATCGAATTATTTGTTATATATCTTTATAGTAAGAGAAATTAAGAATTAATGGTTTTATGTGCCACTGGCTTCATCCTCTCCAATTATTAGTGTTACCCAAAGAATAACTCATTCAATGCTCATAATAAAATTAATCTTTGAGTATAAGTAATCCACTGATTTTCTGTCTCCAAAGTTTATAAGTCATTGGTTAATTTCTTCTACCACAGTTATCTTTTTTCCTACTCCTTTATGACACATGGTTAAGAGCTCGGCTGCTAACCAAAAGATCAGCAGTTCAGATCCACCAACAGCAACTTGGAAACCCTATGGGGCAGTTCTACTCTGTCCTATAGGGTTGCTATGAGTCAGAATCAACTGGAAGGCAATGAGGTTTTGCTGTTGTTGTTGTTAGAATGGTTAAAATTTCAGGGATATGCATTTAAGAATGTTTGTTGAAATAACCAAATGTGGGAAAAGCCTGAGTTTCAGAGTTTTTTTTTTTAAAAAAACCACTGGAGTCTAAAGCAAGCTGGGGAGTGGTGTGGCTTTTCTGTACTGCAGTGCTGTCTGGGCTTAGTCTACCTTTGCAGGTAATTAATTCCCCAGCCTGCTTATTTTTTCTAGTTGGCTCTTGTTTAGCTTGCACAGAGCCCCACCCCAAAGTGCTTTACTGTCCCTCTGCTAACTATTCCTACATATGGTCAAAATCAACTCACCTTCCGGGTTGCTGACATCAGCAAATGCGCTGTTTAGCAAACTCGGCTCTGCTCCCAGTAAACCTTTGTGAAAGAAGTGTTATTACAATGGAGTATACCTGATAGCTAACAACACTGTCCAGTCTCCTCGACACCTAGATATACTCCTAAGGAGAAACTCTTTGTCTATTAGGATTTGCAGCCACAGGCAGAGATATTAGTGCTTCTAGACCTGTTAGATACTAGAGCACTGCTAACGAGCAAACAGCCCTGCCTCAATTAGTGGTTTGTGAAATATTCCTGGATATCAAATTGCTTTTGCTGCTTGATTATCACACTGGCTCTTGGGGTGAAAAGCAACCAAGCAAAAATTGTTCCCTTGTTGAGTACTGCCTTGTTGATCTCCTAAGTTATATCTGTAGACAGAATTCAAGTTTGCCATTTCCCCAGAGCTGAGGTTTGACTTACACATGTAATCATTGTGTTGCTGTTCATATTTTCTCTTGCTAATCCTTTCCATAGCATCTAGATTAACATCTTTTGAGACAGATTCCATAATAATGATTTCAACATCCTTGATTATTTCAGAAACAAATTAAGAACTATAAAGGATCCAAAATGGTAAACTGCTATACTAGTATTTTCCCTAGGCATAGGCGTTTATTTCAGGGAGAGAGACAGATTAGATTTCCTTCTGTAGATTTATGGTTTAAAGAACTAATGAAATTGGGAGAATGTTTCATTCAGATAAACTGCGATTGTAACTTCTGGTCTGACTTCCTAAATTCTTTGCTTCTTAATTACTGAGTAACTTCAGATTGCCATAATGTTAACCCCAGCAACTGAAAAGCTTCAGTATATAGCTTGGGAAGAAAAAAGTAGTAAAGTGAAAGGAAATCAAGATGTTATTGGTATTTGAATATATTTATTGTGACAAGAATGCTGTTATAAATATTCATAAGCAAAGACCATCTTTTTTTTTTTGTCTAGGAATTGTTAAAGATTCCAAATTGGAAGGATACGTCTTTTGTAAAATCTACCAGTTCCTGCTTTGAGAAGAAGCATCTATTATTAAATTTCTATTAACATTATAAATGGTCACAGCACATGCCACTTGACACAATCCCAAACTTTGACTTCCCAGTGGGCCGTCCCACTCCACCATAACCTCCATCTGCCCAGCCCCTAGAAACACGTTACCACTTGGTAAGCAATTTCATATAGATAGTTGGCGGAGGGACGAGTATAACTTGATGATAGCATCAGCTACATTAATTTCTAACGTCCAGCAGAGAATAGTTTTTACTGCTTGGTAGTAAGCATCGAGAGTGATTTTAATTGACACTCTTAACTCTTTCAACTCCACTTAGTTAATCTATAGACAATGCAGAAAAGAGGTTGGTGGGGAGTACTTTTTCAATATTTTATTGTATTTTCTTAAATATCCTTTCTGGAATTTTCAGAAACAAAACATAAAAAAATTATATACTTTATTACAAATGGTAAACTCAGAGTGCTCCAAATCTCTTATTTACAAACAACACTGGGCAGGACACCCAAGCAAACAAACATGAAATAACTTACAAAGGCATGAAGCTGTTTATTGACAGTAATCAGCCTTCATCAAATTAAAAAATATATATATGTACATACACAGTTAACGAAGGCAGGCCAGAAGGAGTTCATCTGTAGGCTCAGCTTCCCTCTCACAAATCTCCCTCCCACCTCCCCACCCCACCCACCCACCCCCCTTTGTGTTCTTAAGGAGTACTACAGAAGCAATCTACAGTCTCTATTGCAGTTTGTAACCCCTCCCCCTCCCCCCTTTTAATACTGAATGAGATCGAATGTTAGGTCCATGCAGTTCTTGGTCAATGTTAAAGAAAAGTCTAACGTTCCGTTCGCGCGGGGACAGCCCATCCGTAAAGCGGGGCAGCCCGCAGGCTGTCACTCCCTGGCTCCACGCCAAGGGAGGGCGCGCCAAGTCCTTCCCACTCGTGCACTCTGGGGGCGCCGTCAGGACGCAACCCAGTCCAACTTGGATACCCTTGGCTTTAGTCCTCGGACACTTCTTTTTTCACTCTCTCACAACTTGTCAAGTTCTCAAGTCTGTCTCTGTGTTGTCTCCGTTTCCCCTCAACCCCCGGCAGTCTCTCTTCAAAACGTTTGCAACTGCTGCGTTAGCATGAGTTGGCACCCACTATTAACGTGGTTCATGACTTTCTGTTTAAGCTGTGCCACCTGTTCCCTGAGCATGTTGGCCGTGGACGCCAGCTCCGAGTTCTGCGCTTTCAAAGTTTTCACTTTTTCCTCCAGCCGGGCGATCCTCTCCAGCTTCCTTTTCCGGCACTTGGAGGCAGCGATGCGGTTCCTCATGCGCTTCCTCTCCGCCTTGATCCGCTCCTGTGACTCCATGTCAATGGGGGACAGGGGCGGCGTCTCCCCGGGCATCTCGGGGACCGTCTGCGGCTCCTCCTTCAGGGCCTGGAGCCGAGGGTGCTGCACGGCGATCTGCTGGGGCAGGTGATGTGGCGGCTGCGGCTGCTGCTGGGGCTGCGCGGGAAAGGCCAGGCCGCCGGCGCCATAGGAGGGCGCCCCGCCGCCGCTGCTCAACGCGCCAGGGTTGAAGTTGCTGAGGTTGGCGTAGACCGGAGGCTCGCTGTGTAGGCTGGCGCTGAAGCCGCCGCTGCCGCCCGCCACGGAAGCCACAGCCGGGGCCACCATGCCCGCCCCGCTGACCGGCTGCGCCGCGGACGTGACGCTGGGCAACGTGTTCTGGCTGTGTAGTTCAGCCAGGGCGCGCACGAAACCCTCAGCGAAGCCCTCCTGTTCGTCTGTCACGTTCTTGGGGCACAGGAACTGGGTGGGGGTCGGCGTGGTGGTGATGTGCCCGTTGCTGGACTGGATTATCAGGCGCTCCAGCTCGGGCGACGCCAGCTTGAGCAGCCCCACGTCGGGCGAGGTGAGGAGGTCCGAGTTCTTGGCGCGGAGGTGCGGCTTCAAGCTGCCCACCGGGTCGGCCAGGTTCAGGGTCATGCTCTGCTTCAGGATCTTGGGGTTACTGTAGCCGTAGGCGCCACTCTCGGACTGGAGGAAGGAGACGTTGAGGGCATCGTCATAGAAGGTCGTTTCCATCTTTGCAGTCATAGAAGAGTCCGTCACTTCACGTGGGGTTAGTTTGGGCTGCGCGCAGAAGTTTCGGGGCCGCAACAGCGCGTTGGCAACCGAGGGACACCCGCGCCTCCCGCGGCCTTTGGCAAGGAAAGTTTCTCTAAGAGCGCGCGCACCCGCTGGCTGTCCTCCCCCCGGCGCCCTCCCCACCAGCTCGTTCCAGGGAACGCAGGGTTAAGATGCCTCCGGCACCCTTCCTTGTCCGCTCGCGCGCGTTGCCCCTCTTTGAAAAAGTCGCGGTCACTCACTGAGCGCTCGGCGGGCGCAGCGGTTCCTCGGTCGAACTCGCTTCCCGGGGACAGCGACTCTCCAGGCGGCGCCACTTAGTGCAGACCCGGCAGTGGCGGGCCGGCGGCGGATAGCGGCCGCCCCGACTCCGACGACTCTCCCCTCCTCCGCTGCTAGGGGAGGGGGCGCCTGGCAGCCGCAGCTCGCGCTTGCCCAAATTCAGCAACCGGTGTGAGCGAACCTGGACGCGCGTCCCTCCTTTCCTCTCCCGCCGCCTTCTTTACCGCCGCCGCGGTAGCTTAAGGAAGAGGAAAGGTTTGCAAACGTTCGCTTCGAGACCCAGGGGCCACTTGTCCCCTCTCCTCTCGGCTGGGAAAGTTCTTTGCCGTTGCAGCCGCTCGCTGGACTTCCCCTGGCTGGCGGGCAGTCACTGCTCTCCGCGGCTGTCAGCGCCCGGGCAGCGGGGCTCTCCTCCCGGGGGCAACTGGAGAAGAGGCTGTCCGGGCCCTCCCCAAAACACCAGCCCGGAAGCCACAGGCGCTAGCTCTGGGCAGTTGGTGAGAAAATAGAAAAGAAAATAAGATTTGCAGTTCAGACTCTATTGCCTTACTGACTGACTGAGTCTGTCTGTCTGAGTCCGCGCGCCTCCACGCCCGCCTCGCTGCTTCAGCCACACTCAGTGCAACTCTGAGCCCTTAACCAGCCCGCAGCTCAACACTTATCTGCTACCAGTCAACCCCTAAAAATAGCCCATGATGTCACCCCGAGGCCTTCCCATTGGCTCGTGTCGCTCTCAGGGGGGCGGGCCCGCCCGTCGCCATGGAGACCCCACCCTAGAAGATTCTTCTCCGGGCCCGCGGAGGCTCACGGGATGAGGTAATGCTCCGCTGCCCTCCTACAGTTGGGCCCTTCTTTCTCCTCCTCTCCCCCTCCCCCTCCCGCGCGACTCTCGCCCCTCTCCCGGTTCCGCTCCCCGGCCAGTCTTTCCCGGCCCGCCCGGTGCATTGTGGGCTGACGTCTTGGGGTTTGACTGTCTAGTGACGGCGGCTGCCCCGAGCTGGAGGACTCTCCCAGCCTCTGACGGAGGCGGGCTCAAGTTCAGAGCTGGGGACCGAGATACAGGGGATGCGGGGACCTGGAAGTCTAGGGGACTGGGCCAGTTGTCTGGGGCTGACCGCGTTGCGTAGTGCGTGGTACTTCCCCTCTTGGGAGGCGCGAAGTCGTCCGTGGGCATTTCGCCTCGCGGGGCTAGGAGGCTAAGAGCCCGCGTCTTTGACCCCCCCGCACTTCCGGGGGGCGGGAGCACTGCCCTTAAGGTGGCTCTGTTTAGTCCCTCGTGGAGGCGAGTGAAAGTGGGCTTAAGTTTAGGGTCGGTCGCACGGGAGTTGACCCCCCACGTTGAGAACGCTCCAAAGTTTGTCTACTTCAAGTTCATGAGCGACTGTCCTGTCCGCTCTCTGGCTGCGCCCAGAACCGAGTGGCTTGCATTGCTTGAAAGTTGGCGCTCCGCTAAGTCCCGCTGCACCTCACGTCACCCTCCGGGGACCAAGGGGGAGAGGGTTGCAGGAGTTTACAGCTTTGCCTCGCAGGTGAGGTTTTTATAGGGGGAGAAATAAGGCGGTAACTCAGCGTCCGGTTGGGAATAAGCGTTTAGGGAATTCGAAATTCTGGGAACCCGGGTGATCTTCTACCGCACACCCCACCTCACACGCACCACACACACACACCCCGCTCTGATTTGCTTCGGGGAAAGTAAATGTCGAAAGCGGCAGAGACTCGGCAAAAGTCACGCAGCGACTCCGGTGTAGAAGAACGAGGACTTAAAAATCTCTCGACTCCCTGCTGGGTAGTGGCTCATATCTTGTGCAGCCTCTAGGAAGCGCTAGACACATATAAGTGGTTCCTTTCTGTGGTTGTTATTTTATCCGCCCCGCCCCCTCCCTCCTCCCCACTTCAGGGGCAAAATGTATGGTGGAAAGAATGCTGAAGTCGGGAATCGTGCTTTCTCTTGTGGCCCCGCGCTGCCACAGTGTGAAGTGAGCGATCACTGAACTTCTCTGTGCTTCACGTCCCTCATCTGCAAGTGAGCTGGTGAGATATACCTCACTGGGCTGCAGGAGTTGGTGTAGCTTCATGCCTCCCTGGCTAGGGAGGTGGTCGCCAAACACCCCTTCCCCGACCTTCTTCTGAGTTTCCCAAACCTTGTAGAGGAGGATGGAATGCCAGGATATAAGAGTGTGATTTGGCCAGACAAGATCTGCTTTCCAATGAGGAACACTGAGGGGAGAAGGTCAGTGAGGGAGGATAGGGTTAGAAGACAACTCTTTCCCAGGCCTTCTCTCTAGGTCTGGGGTTTGAAGTTGGACCTGCACAGTTTAAGTTCCTAGGTTTTTATTCTGGCTTTTCTGCCTCTGAACTTGGGGGAATTCAGTCTTGGGTTCATAACCCCCAGTCTTAAGGTATTTGTGGCTTTGAAAGTTCAGAATCAACAGCAAAGCAGCAGCTGGTGTCAGTGGAAAATCCGCCAACTTTTTTTAACTTGAGGCACTCACCTCTCATTCATTCATACAGCAGAGGATAACTGAGTGGCTACTGTGAGCCAGGCACTAAGCTGTGACAAAATGTGAGCAGGCAGGAGGGGTAGGGATGCAATGATGGCAAGATCCAGTTCCTTCCCTCAAGGAGGGAACATTCTCCTGTATACTGTTGCCCTGAATTATTTTGTTATAATCAGGGAGCTGGTATTCTTAATTTTTATTATCACAATAATAAAAATATTTTTCATGTATTGAATGCCTACAATTTGCCATTCTCCTAAGCAATTTAAATATGCTGTTTTCTCCCCACAGCCATCTTGAGACACAAATGTTATTATCATCTGTATTTAACATATGAGGAAATAGGCCCAGAGAGTTCAAGTATCTTACTCAGATCACACAGGCAGCTGGAAATTGACTTCAGGTCTGTATTACATTTCCTTATTGTATCTTCTTGGCTTTGATAAACTTCCTTGTGAAGTATTAGTTGTCTGCAGAGGGAATGGAGCTTGTGGGAGAGGGAAAATTGTCTTGCCTGATCCTCTGATTGTGACTCCTTTCAGAGCTCCCATATTTAGACTTGGGACTTTAGATAAATATATGTCTTTTGCCTAAGGGTTCTGTGTGTTCCTCTCTGCCTTATGTGATATGGTAGGCTGATTTTCTCCTTCTGTTGAGAAATGGCATATTTCATCCCCCGAAATAACAAATCTGTTCACGATAACGCCCCTGCTTGGAAGCCTTCATTGGCTTCCCCTTACTACAGAAGAAGGAGCCCTGGTGGCTCAGTTGTTACGCTCTCGGCTGCTAACTGAAAGGTCAGCAGTTTGCACCCACCAGCCACTCTGCGCAAGAAAGATGTGGCAGTCCGCTTCCATAAAGATTTACAGCCTTGGAAACCCTATGGGGCAGTTCTGTTCTGTCCTACAGGGTCACTATGAGTTGGAATCAACTTGATGGCAGTGGGTTTGGTTTTTTGGATTTTACTACAGGAGAGAATTCAGACTCCTTTGCCTAGGAGAAGGGGCCTTTTACAGTCTAGCTCCTGCTCTCTCCAGCCTCACATCTCACTCCCAGTGTCAACCAGGAAAGGCTGGGTTTATGCTGCCATTAGAAGCCCCAACATCTCAGTGGCTTTCATTGGGTTACAGTGAAAGTTTATTTTTTGCTCATGCTACTTGTCCATTGTGGGTCTGCAGGGGAGCTCTGCTCACCGTAGTCACTCAAAAGACTCAGACTGAAGGAGGCTTCTTCTTGACACATGCTTCTCACAATTATTTTGGTTGGGGATAGAGAACGTGGCAACTCATATACTACCTCTCAGTACATCCACCTGGAGGTGACACCTATCACTTCTGTTCATATATTATTGGCCAAAGCAAGGCACATGGCCGTGTTGTTGTTGTTGTTAGGTATTGATTTTGGATCCAAGTAAAATGAAATCCTTGATGACTTCAGTCTTTTCTCTATTTATCATGATGTTGGCTATGCCTAACTTCATATCTGGGTAATGCTGCCAAGTGTTTTGAAAGGAGAGAGCCAGGAATATTTGGGGGAACAACACTAGACTCTAACAGTCTTCTTTTCTGTTCACCAAATGTTTGGCTCACTCTCCTACCACAGGCAAAAATCCCTTATTCTTTCCTCAAGGAAGACTGTCATGGATTGAATGGTGTCCCCCAAAAATATGTGTCAACTTGGCTAGGCCATGATTCCCAGTATTATGTGGTTGTCCTCCATTTTGTGATCTGATGTAATTGTCCTATGTGTTATAAATCCTAGCCTCTATGCCTGTGGTTATGGTCCCATTTGGGAGTGAGCTGTCCGTTATGTTAATGAGGCAGGATTAGGTTCATGTTAATGAGGATTAGGGTGGGACTCAACACCCTCACTCAGGTCACAGCCCTGATCCAATATGAGGGGAGTTTCCCTGGGGTGTGGCCTGGATCACCTTTTATTTTACAAGAGATAAAAGGAGAGAGAAGCGAGCCAGCGGAGAGAGAGGGACTTCCCACCACCAAGAAAGAAAGGTTGGGAGCAGAGCACGTCCTTTGCAGCCGGGGTCCCTGCATTGAGAATCTCCTAGACCCAGGGGAAAATTGATGCCAAGACTCATACAGATCTCCAAGGAATGCTGGGCCCACAGATGGTGAAAGGAGACAAGGACCATCCTTCTAAACTGTGAGAGAGAATAAACTTCTGTTTGTTAAAGCCATCTGCTTGTAGTATTTATGTTATAGTAGCACTAGATAACTAAGACAGAGACAAACCCTAAATACCCATCCAGTCACAGAATCAAACTCATTGTCCATGATTTCTGGGTGTTGTGTGGTAGACTCTAAATCAGGTCTAAATGTGACTGTTCTTCATCTAAAGGCAATATATCTATCTACCCTGCACACCCTCAACATGTAACAGTGGGACAGAGACAGGATAACTGCAGTCAACACTCTCTTTTGGAAAGAGAGAGAATGGGAGACTCCAATTCTTACTGGTCTGCTGAGTGGACATTTTGTGGACCCTTACTATCCAATACCCTAATTAGACTCTGATTCTGCTTCTTGAGCATAGCTACCCTACCCACTGTTTTCTATGACTCCTCCTTGAGAGCGTCTCTCTGAAAGCATCTTCCTTTTCTACAGCTAAGGCAGGCATTGGAAACTATGCTTTTAGATCCAAACCCAAAAAACCCATTGCTGTCGAGTCGATTCCGACTCATGATGACCCTATAGGACAGAGTAGAACTGCCCCATAGGGTTTCCAAGGAGCGGCTCGTGGATTCAAACTGCTGACCTTTTTGTTAGCTGCCATGGCATTTAACCACTATACCACCAGGGCTCCTAAGCTTTAAAAAATTGGGGGGATATAGGGTAATATTAAGTCTCAAAGTCTCTTAATCCAGCTGATGTTCTTTTGGCAGTACAACTGCCATAAAAATGTTGTAGGGTTCTTACCTAATTCAAGGTGTTCCATGTGCTAATAGCTAAACCCACAATTCTTTTTTAGCCTTATTTCTATGGTTTGCCATTTTTCTTTGCTTTCTTGCTCTTGTGCCTGCCTCTTTCTCTCTTGACTTGACTTTGAGTGCTTTGGGCCTATTGGACTTTGGTAGGAAAGTCACAACTTTCCTCTTGTTTCCATAGCCATTTAGTCAATTGAAAGCATATGCTGTGTAACATCTTAATTTATCCAGACATTTTAACAATAGGTTTGAAGGCCATACTCTTGACTTGACCCTTTCTTCAAGGCTGACTTTAATCAGTGCTTTCTTGCTGAAAACTTTTCTC